AGGCCAAAGCCATTGTACACTGGGTGAGTGTGCCACTGACTCAATGGGGAGGCTAAAGCCATTGTACACTGGGTGAGTGTGCCACTGACTCAATGGGGAGGCCAAAGCCACTGTACACTGGGTGAGTGTGCCACAGACTCAATGGGGAGGCCAAAGCCACTGTACCCTGGCGAATGTACCACAGACTCATTGGGGAGTCAAAAGCCAATGTACACTGGGTGAGTGTGCCACAAATTCAATGGGGAGGCCAAAGGCACTGTACCCTGGTTGAGTGTGCCACTGACTCAATAGGGAGGCCAAAGCCACTGTACCCTGATTGAGTGTGCCACTGACTCAATGTGGAGGCCAAAGCCAGTGTACCCTGGTGAATGTACCACAGACTCGATGGGGAGGCCAAAGTCACTGTACACTGGGTGAGTTTGCCACAGACACAATGAGGAGGCCAAAGCCACTATACCCTGGGTGAGTGTACCACAGACTGAATGGGGAGACTAAAATGACTGTACCCGAGGCGAGTGTGCCACAGTCTAAATGGGGAAGGCACTGTACCCTGGGTGATATGCTACAATCTCAATGGGGTAGTGGGGAGGCCAATACTGAAATTCTTTCACTTGTATTTGCAATTTCTGTGAACTTTGGAGAATTTTGCAGGTGCTTGTATTCGATTGAGCCAGGTTGTTACTGGGATATCACATTAAATTGCCTTTTGAAATGGGAATGTTCACATGGCCCTTGAAGTTCCCAATATGTTGCATGTACACAACTAGCATTTACTCTTGCAATAACCCCAAAAAATCAAAAGAAAAGACAACACCAGGCAGTGAATTGGACCATTGAATGTATTGGAGATGTGCATATAGCGTAAATATGGTAGTCTATCCATGTGGTTCATCGCTGGCAGTACGGTCTGCATCAACCCCTGCTATGATCACTGTTCTTGTAATAACTTCTTAATATATCATCATTGTCTTCAGGTAATCTTGGTCGAGTCGACTACATTACTGAATATGAGTATGATTTATTTATAAGACCTGATACCTGTAATCCCAGATTTCGTGTCTGGTTTAACTTCACAGTTGAGAATGTTAAACAAGACCAGGTAAATATGTTCTGTTTTGAATTTTGTTTTGAGTTTTATAAATATATTTTCCATGTCTGCTTTATTAGTAGAACTTGCATATGGTCTTATAGAAGTAACAGGTGTATTGAGAGTCAAAATAGTCATATTTTAATGATCAACCTTACAATAATATTATTTTTGTTTCCATTCAACAGAGAATTATTTTTAATATTGTGAACTTCAGTAAAACCAAGAGTCTGTACAGAGAAGGAATGTCTCCACTAGTGAAATCAACAACACGTCCAAGATGGTGAGTAAAATACATAGATAACTGGATCCAAATAAATCAAACGATCCAGTATTAGCTGAAAATGAACCACATTTTGTTAAAATAGCTGAAAATCTCAAAAATGGGGATAAAATAGATCAGCCAAGCCTCAAAAACAGGGGTCCTAACTGCAGTAAATACATCTACACACCTTTTCTCTAAAAGTACACCACTAGTATGAAAGCATTCCATGAATCGCTTAAATTACACAAGTTTGGAAAAACAGTTTTGTAGCCATAAGCATGTTACAATGACTTTTGACAAAGACAAATTGCGAAAACAGTTTTTGTAATTCTTACAAACAAATAAGCTAAATATTTAAAAAAATTGATATTTCAAGGACAATTTCCATATTGCTTTGTTAATTCGGGTTTGATAAATATGCCAAATTGTTTTTCCACTTAAATTTGGGTAAATTTATTCACATTGTTTGTAGTTTTCACTGTATTAAATCTTAATTTTGAACCAAATAAAAACAAATTTTATGTGAAAATGAAAAATTTTTTTTTGATGATGCCTGAAGTTAACTTTGGTACTCAAAGAGTTCAGGACAACAAAGATAAGCAAATCAGAATACAATATATAATGTTCATTTTGTGTCATTTTATGATATGAGGAAATCTATACTACATGATATTATCAAGAATATGGCATAATAAAATTTGTATAAATTTAGGACAATATGCTGAGTAGGCTTCATAAGGGCTTTATTCACATCACACCACACCATGTGTATTTTATGTACATGTAAAAACAGACATCAGACAAGTATAAGAGCCCAGGAAATAAAATAATAAAACAAGGTTTTTTTCTGATCGGATGTCCGTGTCACACATCTTGGTGTTCTTTAGGGGTACATATTCGCCATCGATGAGAATACTGTTTATCAATTATTTTCCAGTGAAAGTTAAAAAAAAACAATCAAACATCCAAAAAATTGACAATCAACAAGCTGATTCAACTTGATTTTAGAGGATTTTATTTTGACTCTACAAAGTCAGTTCTGTTAGAGGGCACACTGCCCTGGAATAAATACTATTCTTATCTAGCTTGATATATTCTCATGTCAAGCTGCAGGCATTATCGCGTACCTTAGTTTTGTTTTCTTCTTTTTCTTATCATGTTAAAATTTTTATCGAGCCTTTTACATAATTTGACTTTGTGTCTGACCAATATTTTATTGTTAATCATAATTTACTCATAGATCATATGTTTTTATTGAATTCATTGTTATCTGTGTCAGTGCTAAGAATGCTGATGAAATGAGTATTCAAATAAGCCGCTTTAACCGATCATAGATGTTGTTTTCTGTAGGCTTATCATTTCAAATGCCAAACCTCCAGTAAGATTCCTTCAAGACTGATGAATAATAGACAAACTTAAGTTTACAAAGAAAATAACAAATGTTATTTAGAAATAAACCTGACAATTCTGAGCTTCTATAATCAAGCTTTCTAACAATAGCTTTTGAAATTAAATATTATATTACAATAATAATTCAAAAATATTCTTGTTATCTCAAAAACATAAATGTTCTTATCAGTGCTGAGATCCTTGTAGGCAATGTGAGATAAGAACTTTATTGCAACCATAGAGAAAATATAGTTAAATATGTAACTGAGTTCATTTGAAATTCAATTAAAAATTGAATAGATAAGATAAAAACATTACTATTGTATGATATATGCCTTTTCCCTCCTTTATCTTGGTTCCTTTTTTCATCACGACTAAACTTTTATTTAAAAATAAAAAAAAATGCCTTAAAGTTATTGTTTTTGTTTTTTACCTCCGCTGTCGACTTTGTCGAGCGGAGCTTATCATATGAGTGATTGTCCGTCGTCGTCCGTGTCAATGTTTTACTTTTTCGACTTCTTCTTGAAAACTACAAGCCTGAATGCTTTGATACTTGGTGTATATGTACCTTGGGTAGACCTCTCTTAGGTTTGTTCGTTTCATGTTGATATCTTCAATTCTCTAATTTTGGTGAATATTTTTGTCATTTTTGGTAAAAAGTGATATTTTCGACTTCTTGTTAAAAACCGCAAGTCCAATTGCTTTTATATTACATATATAGGTACTACATGTGGACCTTGCTCAGATTTGTTCATTTTGTAATGAAAAAATTGATATCTTTAATTCTCTAATTTTGGTGAATATTTTTGTCATTTTTGGTAAAAAGTGATATTTTCGACTTCTTGTTAAAAACCGCAAGTGCAATTGCTTTGATAATACATATATAGGTACTACATGTGGACCTCTCTCAAATTTGTTCATTTTGTAATGATATCTTTAATTCTCTAATCTTGGTGAATATTTTTGTCATTTTTAGTAAAAAGTGATATTTTCGACTTCTTGTTAAAAACCGCAAGTGCAATTGCTTTGATAATACATATATAGGTACTACATGTGGACCTCTCTCAGATTTGTTCATTTTGTAATGATATCTTTAATTCTCTAATTTTGGGGAATATTTCTGTAATTTTTCGTAAAAAGTGATATTTTTGAATTCTTGTTGAAAACAGCAAGTCTCATTGCTTGATACTATACGTATTGTTCTCTATTGTTTCCTAATGATATCTTCTGTTCTTTAATTGAAATGTGCATTGCTAACAGCGGAGCTATCTCAGCCGAGAGGCTGCTTGTTGTATTATTATCTATTAACTTGTTCAGCAAAGGGCTAGCCTGGAGGTACTATATATATGTATATGGAGGTAATTTGGGAGGAACTTTATCAGGTTTGCTCATTTCAGAGCGGTGTCAACAAATAGTTTCATTGTTTTTAGTGAAAAAAAAAAAAATGTTTGATGTCGTTTTGAAAACAAGTAGTCGTATTGTTTATTTGATTTTTATATGTGGGGCACCTGCGTCATTCCTATGTCAGATTAATGCATTACTTGAAAATTGACTAGCTTGATTGATATTTCTTTCACATTATGCATCTTAAACAGCTATATCAGTCTTCAGTTAATTGTTAATTACAACAGCTTTAGGAATAATTAAAATCTGGCTATCATGTTATTCAGTATTCTACACATGTAAATCAGCTTCAGAAGCTGGAGGGAACCCAATTTTAAGGGCAAATACTGATAAAGTTATATCTAGATATTCTGATAGACACCAGAGCTATTCATACATCTCTGCAATTGCCTTCAATTGCATCAATGAATTACATGTCTTGAATCAGAGTGTCTATGAATGAAATATTCAGCCAAATAATTCCTGATATGCCATCCTATTCTCGGGGGTAAACATCCAGACATTTTCACAGCCTTGCAATAATTTTCAGTAAAAACAAAGGCTGAAAACTGTACTTTGGGCTAGCTGTTGAGACTCTCCTGAACAATGTAACAAGGACTATCTCTACCCATGCAACATATATAAATTTGGTTCCTCAGGATTACCTCAAAGTTGAGAATTGTGCTGTTTTCAGCAACTTAGGATGTCATCAGGGCTAATTGCATGACTTTCTAACCGATGATTCAAATGAGGCCTTCTTAATAAATCAATGGAAATCGTACCCATGGGAAAGATTGTGATGCACAGCCATTTTTTGTACCTGTGCATTTCATATGACATTTGTTGCCACTGTGAACTTTGAACATTTCACACTTTTCAGGCTTTTGTGCTGAGCACATGCTTGGATGATAATCCAAAACCATGTTGTATGACAGGATTTTAAGTTGTCCAGATAACAAACTACAGGCTGAACTACGGTACTAAATCTGCCATACACAACACAACCGATTTTGGTTCATGGCTCAATTTACTGTACATGTTAAAAACTTCTATCAGATTAACTGATAACAGAACTTTAAGACAGCGTGACTTTCACAGAATTATCAAATCATGAACGTTTCTTGTGCAAAAAATATAATCGTCAGCTTAACACAGTATGTATTGTCGCAATACAATGGACGAAGCTGTACATCTTATAACAGTGTGGTCGCAAATACCATGCGCATTAACAGGGTAAATCTCTGTCATAGAAAGTTTATATACAGGAAACTCAAACGTCATTTCTATGATTATAATGCTTTGTGTTTTTAATACAGGAAGCATTGCATTGAATGTATTTCTAGAGTAACAAAACTTTGAGAATGTCAGTCAGGATAAAACAAATTTAGGCAAATAATTAACTGACTTGCTTAAGGTCACATTTGATTGGGCCTAATCTAAATATCACATACATGCATTCAAGCCAATTCCAAACTTTTAAGATTTTGTTTAATATGATGGTTGTTGTTATAGCAACAAAGTAGTGTATATTATTTTTTGTTTTGTCATTATACTGGACTATAGCATTGCAACGTTATTTTGTTCACATTTGTTAGTACCGGTAGTTAGCCATATTCTTCTATAATTCTTTAGCTTGTTCAAGTAAGTCAATAAGCTTCCTTACATATGTTAGAACAGGTTGTACTGTGATCCGGAAAAGATTTGTCCTAGAATTACTCTTCTTTACATTTATATGCATATGCTGGGCTAATAATCTGAAGTCCCACTCAGTGCCCACCCTCTGGCATTTAAACATAGATTGTTCAGATGAGCAATGATACACTCTCAAAAATGGAGATCTAATGTGTGGTTCAAATAGTTTGGGTTGTTTGCATTTATGGTCGGATTTAATGCACACAGACACCATTATAAATTTTGCATAAAACAAGTGACATTGTAGCTTATACAATGTAATTTAATATTTCAATGTATCGAAAAAATACAAATTATTGATGTCTGATGATTTGGGACCTGAAAAAAAAGCTTCCATCAAGACCTTCTTTATTCTCTATTCCCTACAGTCATCAAAAGGTCAAAAATCGATTCAGCTGTGTACAGACTCGCTGATGATTTATACATGTACGGATATACTACCAGTAGTTGTATGGGAAAAAAATTGGAAAATAGCTGTGTTCGCTCCTGCATTTTATTGCAAGCCATTGACGTATGAAGCAATGTGTTATATGTACAATGACAAAATTACTGCAATCTTGAGATATCATGATCAGATGTTTCTTGCCTATAGCTTAAGATTCTTTCATGATTGAGTTTCAGCATCTTGTTGTTGTCCTCAAGTCACCGAATTGCATGTGGAATTCTTTGTAGTACGGTAGAGATAATAGTTAATTATAGATATATATGTATCTCTAAGGTTTCCGGATAGCTTGTGGATGTTTAGATTTAATTTGTAGATTTGTTCGTTGGCCCAAGTTTCTCAAAATTCAGGAGGCTTTCAGCAAAATATTGCTGACAATACTTTAATATGTTTTTTTTTGTTTTTTAATTAATTTTCAATATTATATGTTCTATTGTTTTATTGCAGGCAGAGGATACCGGCAAAAAATGTCTACTACTACCGATGTCCTGATCATCGCAAGAATTATGTACTTTCGTTTGCATTTGCTTTTGACCGTGAAGATGATGTGTACCAGTTTTCTTATTGTTTTCCATACTCGTACACAAGACAGCAAACGTACCTTGATACGTTGGAAAAACGTGATACAGATTACTTCACTAGAGAGCTTTTATGTCTGAGTGTGGTAAGTTCATACTAAACCTATGAAAGCTATACATGCATTTGAGGAGACCATCTCCATTATAAGGGAAACAAAATACTGTGGAATACTTTATTTTTGCTGGAATTAATTTTCGCTGAAAAGGCTTTTTGGGCATTTTGCTTAGAATTTATTTTCACTGATTTTTGATGAGTTTAATGTGAAATATAGGAAAAAAAGTATATGCGCTGGATTTTATTTTCACAGAATCATCCCTTCAGCGAAAATAGTGAAAATAAATTCCAAGCGAAAATAAAGTATTCTACAGTACTCCGTTTCACTGTAACAAGTTCCACATGGATGGGTAATTGTTTCATATATTTTAAACTGATGGAACAAACCTGCCCTACATATTTATTTCCTGAGGAGAGCTGCTGAAAGACACAGGCTATCAGTATCACAAAACAGACCTTTTTTTCAGCTATTTATCTGCTCTAGAGATAGTAATGATAACCTTTTGAATTCCCCTGTAATATTAATCTTGGTAAGCCATTTTGAATCAGAAATTAATAATTAAAATCTAGAATTAGGTGGCTCAAAATTTCTAGAAAAAATTAATTCTATTGTGAATTTCAAAATAAAGTATTGTGAAATCGTTTATTTTCATTGGCATTCAATTTCACTATTTAGATGCTTTGAGCAATTTATTGGGTTTCTGTTGTTATGTTACATGTTCTCTAAAATTTAATTTAGTGAATTGTATTAATTAATAAAAATAACATAATTTAAAATCAGTGAATTATTAATGCCTGTTACAACTTTTGTATATAAGAATCATTTCCAAAAGACCTTTGTAAAATGAACATTTTTTTCTGTCTTTGGTTATTGATTTAGATTGGTTTCACTATAACACCTCTATATCTGAACACTTCTCAGTTGGTGTTCAATTTGGACATGTTTCTCTATAAGAGCTATAAACTGAACATCTTTCTCGGTCTTGGTCTCTATAGTCTGAACTTTTTTTTCTGTCTCTTTAGTATTTAGACTTGTTTCACTGAACCTTCTGTATGTGAACATGTGTAATCTAAATACTTTTCTCAGTCTATTTGGTCTTCAGTTCAAACAGGTTTCTCCTCAAGATCACTATAAGC